CAAACAAAAAAAAAAAAAACCCCCACAGTAAAAAAAAAAAAAAAAAAAAAAAAAAAGCAGTAATAAGCATGCAGTAAGATCATCTGGGAAAGACTGAGCCATGACACCAGCAGCAAGTCCAGCCCTTACCTGTAGATGAGCACAGACAGCAATGACAAGCCAGGCGACGTCCCAGGAGAGCCCTGTGGCTTTGGGGCCAGCCATCCTCGTGCCTTGGGCCACTGCTGAGAGAGGTTGTTTCACGTTACCAACAAAACCCAGCCGGCTCCGCCAGAACCTCAGCGACTAACGCGGACTGGGCAGGGGCTGGAGGCGGCCTCTGGAAGGAGCGCCAGGCAAACACTGGAGCTGCGCGCGGGCCAGGAGGCAGCCGCACGCCCCAGCGCAGCCCACAGCGCGAGGCGGCTCCAATTAGAGAGCAGGAAGGGGCGGCTGGGGGCAGGGGGGACTGAGCAAAGCCCCCCCAGTGCGGCCTGTGGAAAGCACAGCCCAAGGAGCAGGGGGTCATTTCAGCACCACCGTCCACTTGGAGCTGGGAGTGCAGCCCTGGGACTTCAGTCATTCGCACTGCGTTGGGAAGCCCAGCTTCCAGCTGGCTCAGGCACAGTGATCAGGGAGAGAAAATAAGAGCAATAAAAATAACAATCCCATCAATTTAACAGTCTCCACAATAAAAGGGGCCACTAAAAACATCAATTTGAACTTACAAGAACAACAAACAAGAGCAAAACAGAACGGTGCTGCTCATTTTGCCTTTCCTTAGTTCCAGTGCATCTTTTTCCTCACACTGCTCGTTGCCATAGCGATCCCCGCACATCCCGCACGCCGCCAGCCCCTCGCCTCCCTCCCGCTCCCCTCACCGCGGAATTACACATCGCCCGCAGGAAACCCCCCTCTCCAAAGGATAAGCCATGAGGATGAACCGTCCCACGGGAAAAGCAACTACTCGGACAACCCACGCACCTGCCAAGTAAGTTAAGGAAGCTTCCTTACAGGAACAGAGCTGTTCAAAAAGAAGGAAAAAAGAAAATACAGATATATAAACACATGACATCCCGAGCC